TAGACACAGATTGAAATTACGAGTGGAATTTGAACAGTTGAAGAATATAAAAGTTAGCTTAAGAAAAATCACAAGATTACACTGTTAATCGTATAATCTAACATTTGTATCCCAATCATGAAACTCTAGAATACACTCCAATTTGCTTCATTCAACTGTATTTGGCCCAGAAACTTATTTGATAGTTGATAACTCAGTTTATAATTTACGGGAGACAGAACTATTCTGTCGGTGTTTGTAACCGTTACAACAACTTCCTATTACAGTTACATGATGATCTAACAATTATAAACAACTTCCTATTACAGTTACATGATGATCTAACAATTATAAATTCTAATAGAATGGTTTAATTTACAAGTCCAAATTATAGTTTATAGCTGGCTGGAAAAAAACGATATGATATAGTACGATTTTTAGTAAAATTAGCTAAAAAAAAATAAAATGATGAGTTAGAAGCAGGTAAATAAGCTCTAATTGGGCCCATACGTGAGAGGCCCATTTTTATTTAGTTGAGCCTGATAGTGGACTAGAATTTGATGGATCCGAAACACCAAGGCCCATTCACAAGCTAAAAAATGTGCTATATAAATTGCCTCAGCTCACGCTAGGGTTTTTATCCACACTCATTTCTCTTGGGAGGGTTCTCTACACTCGAAAGGGAGGCGCTCAAGTTCAGTCGCAAATCAACCCACCACCATGAGAGCTAAGGTATCTCATCTCGAACCCATATACCGTTCAGATCATACGTAATTAGTCTCGATTCGATTGTTTATAGCTGCAATTTGTATCAACTGTTCTTTTTTTTGACCTAATTGCTGTTGCTGTTTTTGTTCTAACAGTGGAAGAAGAAGCGTATGAGGAGATTGAAGAGGAAGCGCCGAAAGATGAGGCAGAGATCCAAGTAGTTTGCTTTCTTGTTTTTGCCTGTTTGCAGAATCTGTGTCGGAATTTCTAGGATTTATCGTTTTTTATTTGATGGTGTTTATGTTTTCGTGGATTTTGTTTGTGTAAGAGAGTGTTGGCTATGCTCTCTGAGATCAGCTGCTTTGAGATAATGAAATTTCATTTGAACTTTTCTTTTATATTCTTGTTGGCCCATATAATTTTCTTTGATGTGGTAAGGGTGAGATTTTGTTTTGATGATATCTATGGTATTTTGGATGGTTGGGTTGGTATTTGAGAAGCTCTTGGACATAATACGTTCCTTTCGAGCTCGAAAGTGACCATGAAAGTTGGGATTTTGTAAAAAAAAAAATTGGTAGCTGCATTTAGAAGTGGTGTTGATCTTGATTTGGGAATCTCTAGCTTGGCTATTGATTTGGAGCATATAAATGTAGGTTTGTTTGGCTTTGTGGAGACTTATTGTTATTGCTATTACCTTTGAATGCATTAACCTTGACATGTTTGATCATTGAACCTAACGAGGAATTCGTTGACTCTAAACTTACCTTGAGTATTGAGATTTTGTAAAAAGGTAGCCACATTTAGAAGTGGTATTAATGGATCTTGATTTAGGAAGTCCTGATCTATTGATTTGAGCGTATAAACGCAAGTTTGCCTGGATTTTTTTGGTGGCTTATAGTTATTATTAGTCATGAATATGTTAACCTTATATGTTCGAGCATTGTGGTGGATGTAAAAACATAATGAGGAGTTCATTTTGAGTTTGCACTGACCTTAAATATTGGGAGTTTGTGAAAAATTAGTTGCTGCATTTCAAAAAGGGTATTGATGGATCTTGGCTTTGGAATTCCTTGTGTCGCTATTGATTTGGGGCATATTAGCTCAAGTTTGCTCGGATTTGTGTTGGGTTAAAGTTATTATTAGCCCTGAATGTATTAACCTTGATTTTGAGCATTGACGTAGACTAAAAAAACTTGATGAGGAGTTCCACCTTGAGCTTGAACTAACCTTTAACATTAGGAATTTGTTAAAGTTTGTATTAGATTTATGGTACTGATGGATCTCAAGTTGTGAATTATTGTTTGGCTATTGATTGAAGCATATAAAGCTTAAGTTTGCTTGTTGTGGTGGATTTTTTTGGTGTTAATAGCCTTGATTGTATTAAACCTTTTGTGTGTTATTAATAGTGCGTTAAAAGTGAAAAATACATAACCCATCTTAGAATTGCAGCGTCTATTTGTTTTTGAATTGTATATTGATAATTACATGAATTAACTTGGTGGATTTTTGTATGTTTCTGGGTAGTCTTTGTACACGATTTTAAAATGTTTTTCAGATTTGGAAGTAACTTTCTTAGCGCCTATTGTTCCCATGAATCAAGTAAAATGTTTGTTTTAGCTGCGGTCATGAACATATGATAGAATTTTGAATCACACATCATTTTTCTATTAGTTTCTTTTATGCAAGTGCTTTATATGTCAAAGTAGCTTTTTAAGGACTTGTATGCAAGTGCTTTAAAGGCGATGGAATGAAATAGACTTGAAATCTCTCGGATTCCATAGTTTTGACCTCAACATATGATTTGATGAAATGAAATAGAATTGAAATGTCTCGGATTCCTTAGTTTAGACCTCAACATATGAATGAACAATATCATGTATATAAATGACATGATAGGCACAACAAGACGTGATTCAAAACACAATACGAGAAACATAAGAGGATGATTGGATATAAAAAATTTTGGTTTTGTTTGGATTTTTTTGTTTGGTTAAGTTAGTTTTAGAAAAGTTGGTATGATTAATTGTTAGTGAATATATTAAAATAATATTTAAAATAAAATGATTAAAGTTATTTGACGTAAAGTAGGAAAGAGAAGATTTGAAGTGATGGTTAGTTAAAATTATGTGAGTGAATGAATAGTGAATTAAGGTAATGTTGTGTGTAAGAATGATTGATTGATATTGTTTAATTATATTGATAATATTGATGATAGTGGAGTTGAGTTAAAGTTGAGTTAAAAAAATGGTTGAGTTAAAAATGTTTGGAATTTTTTGAGGAATTTTTGTATCCAATTATTCTCAAAAATTACTTAAATCTAGATTAATTATCATATTTATCGTAAAATAAAAATACACTAAATCAACATAGTAAAACACGTAAGATAAGACGGGACTTGAGAAGCACAAAACAAAAGTTTAGTTAAATTCAGATTTATTATATATTTATAATCAACTAAAAATGGCGTGTTGCACAAAACAAAAGTTTCGTTAAATTCAGATTTATTATATATATTTATAATCAACTAAAAATAGATAACGAACACGCCATGATAAGACACGACACAAGAGAAGCACAAAACCAAAATCTAATTACATATAGATTTGTTATAATGAAATAAATTTAAATAATACAAAATCATGATAGTAAAACAAACATGACAAGATAAGACGAGTATATATGCACAAATCTAAGCAGATGGTTGACAGAATCTATATTAAACTAATCGTCGACTTTGGGGCATTTGGGCCCAAAAGCTGAAATACTTGTTCGGGCCTAGTGGTCGATATTTTCAGCCCAAAGAAAAGTAAGCTGAAATCCCATGAATACCCTTGCTCGCGAACTGCACTTAGATCCCTCAAAATTCGTTTAATTTCAATCTCACCCCACAAAATTCCCAAAAGCGAACTCCATAAACCCCAGAGCGCCCAAATGGCGGAGACATCGCGAAAAGTGGATATGGAGGAGCTGCTGAACTACAGCAATAATCTGATCGAAGTTTTGAAGGAGGAGAAGGATGTTGTTGGTCTCAAGCATTTTCTCCGCCAATCGGAAGTTCTTCACTCTCAGTGCGTCAAAGATTTCGATGAAGCTCAAAAATCAATCGAAGGTTATGCTTACAAAAACATAGAAATTATGGCTGTTTTTTACCTCCATTTTTTTGTTCTATTTCAAGTTGTGAGAATAATTCAGCAGTATTTTCCTATGGGTATTTGTGTGATGACTTGCTACGAAACAACCTCCTTGTATAATTGCAAGGGTAAGGTCTACGTACAACTGACGCCCAATACCCCAACCAGTTGGGAATATACTGGGTATGTTGTTTTATTTGTGTGATGACTTAATTTGTAGCCAGCATATGGAGCGGCTTGCATAGATTTTCTATTGAGCTTCATATAGTATTCTTCGTGTCATATGGTTTATCAGATTTCAAGATTGTGAGCTAAAAGAAATATAATGGCAGGAGTTCAGATTGGTATGGGGTAGTTTGGTATAGGTTTTTGTTAGTATTTACCTCCATTTATTTTAAATGCCAAATTCTAAGAACCATTGGACAGTATGTTCTTTTTTTTCTTTTTTTTCTTTTTTTTTTTAATGTGTTTTGTGTGATTACTTAATTTTTAGCTAGCATTTGAAGGGGTTTGCCTAAATTTTTCAATTGATCTTCCCATAAATATCCATTTTGTCAGACTATTTGATTTAAAATTATGGGCTAAAAGAGATATAATACCAGTTTTTTGGATTGGTAATTTGGTACCAATTCTTTGAGTTGTTTTTTATATGTTTGTGTGTTAATGTCTTGGGTTGGTTGGTTTCTTAGTGCCCTAGGTTGGTTTGTTCATAACTGCATGATTTTGGTTTCATGGGGTAATAATATATCTGATACAGAAATTGTTCGAGAAGATTTATTTAGTGCATGACCATGTGTAAGTTTGTTAGTTTTTGCTGTATTGACTGACTATTCATATGCATTCCAGATTATGAAAAGAAGATAGCTGAATGCAAGCAAAAAGCAGCAGCTGCAGGTTCTGAAACTGCCTCTGATGCAGAGTTGGATTCTCTACAGAAGGAGCTAGACGAGGGAAAACAACTAGAACGCGTGCTTAAGGAGGATCTTAGATAAGTATTTTGGGTTTATTGAAGTTATGCGTGCATATATATATATGTGTGTGTGTGTGTGTGTGTGTGTGTGTGTGTGTGTGTGTGTGTGTGTGTGTGATGTGGATGAATATGCATGCATACATTTCATGCTGGACAGCATATATTAACAATTACTATTACGATGAACACAGGAATTGTTAACGAAATCAATGATCTAGAGAGGCAAATGATCTCTCGTGAAGAAGAAATGCAAGCCATCAAGAAACTTGAGCAAGATGAGCTAAGAGCTCAGTAAGTCATGAGAAAATTGAGGATCTTGCCTTTCTTTTCAATGTACCGTTTTAAAACGATAATTTATTATCATTATGGTACACCATTAAAACTTGGATATAGTAGATAACTGAAAGTGTCCATGGTTCGTTTATTAAAAAAAATTCTTTCACCACTTGCTTCAATTAAGTGGTTGCACCAGTAACCACTTATTTATCCAGAATATTTTGCGTACCTAATATTATCCTTTGGACCCTTTCCCAGATGATCCTCTCAACAAAATTTGCAAATTGTGCATATTTTTGTGCAATCTCATGGAAGGAGTTACTACATACTACATCCATATGAAGCACAAACATATAATGTTCTTTTTTATTTAAGCTCATGCTGTTTTTTCTTGTTCTGCAGGATGAAGCTTTCAATGTATGCTTCTGTCACAAATATAATTCCTTACTTCAACGACCTATCCAAAATATGTGGCCGTATCCTTCTTTGCATGCATTTCGTAACTTTCAGTATATTTATGTTTTATTTGATCTTATCATTTGAATATTTTGACATGCCCATTTTGAATAAATCGCTCATTGGACCAGTTTAAGTCTAACTCGCACGCTCTAGATATCGTGGCAAGAGATAAGAAAGTGGTCGAGAAGTTTGAGTTCGATGAGTCAGAGATTACTGCCTTCGACACATGCAATGACATTTGGAAGATGTTAGAATTGTGACGAATCTTAAAGTTTCGAGCTACTTGTCTTAGCTCATATGGTATATGGTGTTGATTTATGAATTCCTGGTTTGGATATTGATTTGGAGCATATAAACATAAATTTGCTTGCATTGTGTTGGCTTATAGTTGTTGTTATTAGTCTTGAATATGTTAACCTTGATATGTCTGAGCATTGTGTTGGATGGAAAAACCTAATGAGGAATTCATTTTTGAGTTTGAACTGACCTTGAATATTGGGAATTTGTGAAAATTTAGTTGATGCATTTCAAAAAATGGTATTGATGGATCTTTGGAATTCCTTGTCTGGCTAATATTAGTTCAAGTTTTCTCGGATTTGTGGTGGTTTATAATTGTTGTTATTAACCTTGAATGTATCATCCTCGATTTTGAGCATTGAGGTAGATAAAAACTTAATGAGTTAATCTTGAGTTTGAACTGACGTTGAACATTAGGATTTGTAAAAAACTAATAGTGGCATGTATGGTACTGAAGGAACTTGAATTGCAAATTCTTGGTTTGGCTATTGATTTGGAGTTTATATGCTTAAGTTTGCTTGTTGTGGTGGCTCTTGTTGTCGTTAATAGCCTTGCTTGTATTACACCTTTTTTGAATTAATATTGCGTTAATAAGAAACATATATAAACAATCTATTTTGTTACTGAATTGTATATGGATTATGATTTATCTGAATTCATTTGGTGGGTTTTTGTGTAATTAGTTTCTATTGTGGTATATCCCTGGTTCGATCGGGGGTTCGAAACAGCAGGGCGCGTGATTTGTACAAGATGGGAAGAGTTGTAGTTAGAGCAAATAGATACATTGCCTTTATTGTGTGTGTGCGTGTATGTGTGTGTGTGTGTGTGTGTTTAAGCAAAAGCAGAGGAAATAGACACTGTTGTTTGTTAGTGTAAGAGCTAGTGTGTTGTACTATATAGCTTATAGTACATTATGGAGATTATTTTACCAGTGATATTACAACATGAAAGTGCAAGAGGCTGTAACTTTGTGAATGTTTTCTTTTTCTTGATTGAGGCTATATTGAACCTGTCGCGCCGTGGATAGTGCCTAGTGGTGTAAACGAGCCAGTAATCGAGCGCGATATTAGCTCGTTTATCAATATTAACGAGCTAAGTTCAAGTCATAACAAACTAAATTCGAACTCGTTAACTATTGAAAATTATCT